GAGTTTTGGAGGTTTGACTTCTCACTGGAGAACATGGTGGAGAGCTGATCTTCATTCCTCAGATGGGGATCATTCCTAATGAGACCCAAGTTCCATTCAAACTTAAATGTCTACAATTTCCAGTTCAACTGTGTGGCGCCGTTTGTTGGGCACCACCATTGTTGTTGTTGTTGTTGTTGTTGTTGTTGTTGTTGTCATTGTCGGGGTTGATGTTGTTGTTGTTGTCTGTTGCATGGTGGTTGTGGTGGGTGAGGTTGTGGGTGGTGAGGAAAGAGAGAGGTGATGTGACGTGTCACATATGAGAACCATCATCAACAAACATGTGCACGGGATGCATCACATCACATGATGTATCCAAGCACATGCTCATGGGTCATGTGACTCATCAAATGCATCATTCCTGGGACTAGTCCTGTCTGAATATCCTCAGGACTGTCTCCAGTCCTCAGGAATACACCCCCACAGGACTCAAAAAATTGGCTGGCACATCAGCCAATATAGAGTCCTGGTAATCCTCAGGAATCCTCAGGAATCCTGCAGGAATCAGTGGGGGACAATAAAGACCTCTACTAATTGGTCAGTTTGTGCAAGTCGAAAAACACACAGACTTCACACCAGGTACATGCTCTGGAGGTTTCAAATTGGACAACAGGCCACATGAAGTTTATTACTGGATCTCTCGTGGGCAGGCAACAGAGCCTAAGATATCAGCTGTGAAGGACTTCACAGAAAGTTGGTGGAAATGGTGGAAAGGTTTACAGCTGGAATGGAGGACTGTGACCCAACCTTGACAGGTGACAAGGATTGGTCGGCTGTGGACTAATATGGCAAGAACACCTTTTTTTCTGTGATGGCCACACTCTGGTGGTGGGGAGTGGCTCTTCCTGGCTCAGCTAATGGAGATCCTCAATGGCTAGCAGTGGTTAGGGATGTCAGGTGGGTCCTTGGTGGGCTTTGGTATGTTTTATTTAGCTCTGAGGTCACTAGCATGCGCTTATGTTTTTGTTCAGCACCTCGCAAGCAGCATGTC